ACAGTAAGGAAGATTTTGCAGATACAGAACAGTACAGTGGGGTGACATGTAGCGCGACATGAACCCAAGATCACAGTTGAGTCTGTCTTCGTGGGTACGGAATTTGGCAATCAGTTTCTGCTCAGCAATTCTGCGTTGTTGTGTATCTCAAAGGCCGCCTTGGAGGACACTTACCCGAAGACAGAACGTAGAACATAGAACAGTACAGCACAGTACAGGCCCTTCGGTCCACGATGTTGTGCTGACCTATTATCCTACTCTAAGATCAAACTACCCTGCATACCCTACATTTTACTATCATCCATGTGCCTATCCAAGAGAAGGCTAAGTGTCCCTAATGTATCTGACTCTACTACCACTGACAGCAGCACATTCCGCGCACCCACCAAACATGATATAGTTTCTCCATTCCACGGAAGTACTGGACACTGAAGGGTACTCTATCGCTTGTATCCTGTGTCTGTCCTTTGAGGAGATTGTTATGGTTTTTCGCACTTTGGAGCGGAGAAACTACGCCATGTTCTTCGCAGCCTTCAACACATGTCATCGATGATGATGAGCATCTTGCCAAGATCATCGCTATGCCTCCACTTCTCTCCTTCAAACAACTGCCAAACCTTAATCAGACTATCGTTCACAGCAAACTACCCAGCCTTCAGGACAACATCAACCACAACACCGTACAACCCTGTAATGATAACCTCTGCAAGATATGTCAGTTCATCAACATGGATACCACTATACAACTATCACACATGGGAGCACCACCCACCACGTTCATAGTAGATACTCATTTGACTCAGCCAACACTGTCTATCTCATACACTGCAGGCAAGAATGTCCCGAGGCATGGTATATTGGCGGGACCATGCAGATGCTACAACAACAGATGAATGGACACTGCGCAACAATTGCCAGACAGGAACGTTCCCTCCCAGTGGGGGAACACTTCAGCGGTCAAGGACATTCAGCCTCTGATGTTTGGGTAAGCCTTCTCCAAGGCGGCCTTTGAGACACACAACAACGCAGAATCGCTGAGCAGAAACTGATATCTAAGTTCCGTACCCATGAAGACAGCCTCAATCATGATCTTGGGTTCATATTGCAGTACATGTTACCTTACCACACTGTTCTGTATCTGTAAAATCTTCCTTACTGTCCTGTTTTAACACCATCACCTTAATAAATTGTTATAATCTCTCTACCTTAACTAGTCTGTACAGTTTTGAATTACTTATTACTTTGGTTAGACCCTCAGCATGGGACACTTATACCTATCATGTTATTCCAGTCATTTAGTTTGGCTCCAGCACTACCTTATTTTTAATTGTTTGTAATTATCTCTCTGCCTCATTTAATCGGATTATAGGTCATCCCTTCGCTGGTGATTCAACTGATGACACGTTACGTCTAACACTCTTGGTCAGCTGCAGAGACTTATTATCTGACACTCCACTCACACCAGTTATATGGTCTTTTGATCTCTCTGCCCTTGATCTCTATGCCTATAAATTCTGTGTCTGTGTGCAGTTCTCTCTCACTGCACCTGACAAAGAGGCTGCGTTCCGAAAGCTTGTGAGTTTAAATTAACCTGTTGGACTATAACCTGGTGTCATGTGACTTCTGACTTTGACCCTCATATTGGATCACCTATTTCTCTGATCTGCCACCATCCTCAATTGAGTGGAGCTCCAGGAGGTGACTTCTAATTGAGGAGCCAACGGCAGGATTGTGACCCACCTGGGAAAATTTATCCCAATATTTGTATCAGTCACTCAACCATGTAGTGTTCAGATATTGAATTGCACTTGGTTGGTTTACGACGCAATTGACCCCAACAACACAGGTTCAAATCCCCCACTAGCTGAGATTACTGTGAATGTCCACCTTCTGAACCTTGCCCCTCACTGAGACATGGTGACCCTCAGCTTAAACTCACCATCAGTTGTCTCTCTCTCTCTCTCTCTCTCTCTGGATGGTTTGTGGTGCTCTGAAATCATGGTGGCTTTACCTTTACAATAAAAGCAGTGGAAGTACTCCAGAGGGCTGGCAGCACCTGTGGAGAGAGAAATAGAGTTAATGTTTCAGGTCAGCGAGCTTTCATCAGGATTTCACCACTGGTATTGTCCTTGTCTCTGGTATTCACCCAGCAGTGGGGGAGGCAGTCATCATGTGGGGCACAAACATTAACCTGTATGTTTGTGGGCTCCTGGGCTGAGGGAAGGATGCCGGTGTCTGTTTGCAGAATCCGCAGGGACCACAGAGAGGCAACACCTCTCTGCCACTCTCCAATTCCTCTGCCATTCCACCACCACCATCACCATCACGACCAGCAGCAGCAGGCCCCCAATCTATTGTGACCAAGCTCCCTTGGTGATCCTATGCTTCTCCTTGTTTGCATTGCTAGTGTCTGCAGACATTCCCATTGGCACTCCCTGCAATGAACAGCTGCCAACCTCTGATTGTCCAGCAGTTCTTGGGAGAAGAATTTCCAGACCTGTCCACTTAGCAGTGATACTTTCTCAGAGGATTAGTCAGGGGACTCTTGTAGGCTCTGGCTGGTTGGCGGGATCTCCATCGCCTGCATTAAATACGACCTTTTGTTTCACAATGTCATGTAAAGCCACAAATTGCCAGAAATTTCACTCAGAAGAAAAACTATTTCTGTGATTGTGATGAGGTCAGTTAGGTGCACTCACAGAATATGAGTTCCCTGACTGGGGCTGTTAACCTGCTCCAATCAGGGAACCCTGGCTGACAGATATAAACAGGAGCATCAGAGGTTCTGTTCACTCTGAGAGCTGGCTCTGCGGGAGCTGGATCAGTGTCAAGGACACTCCACATGTAAATAAAAGTTGACTTGGTGATGGGATATGGGCCTCTGGAGTTATTTCTCTCTTTTTACCTGAAATATTCTGCTAGCCCTGAATGCAGTTGAGGACTATGCCATCTTAATTGGAAGAACACTCTTAGATATCAGTGATCACAGCATTGTTATGGCACAGAACGATGCCATTCGGCCCAACTTACCAGCACTATCTCTTCAAATGAGCATCGTCACCTAGTGCCAGTCTCCCGCATTATCCCCACAGCCTTGCACAGTATTTCCACCCAAATAACTTCAAATACCTGCTTGAATGCTTCAATGAACCTGCCTACACTGCATTTCCAGGCAGTGCATTCTATACCAGAACGGAGTGAGAAAATCTTCTTCTCATATCACCCTTGCTTCTTCTGCACATCATTTAAAAATATCACCAGATTCAGTGTAATATATAATTTTGCTCATTTTATTTTCCTTGTAGGTAATAACTACACATGCATACTGGTATTCCAGACTTTAAACAGGATCGGAGTTACCAATCTGATCAAAGACAAGTGCCAGTAATCCCTGTTGCTGATATCCAAAGCAATTGATGTTCTCTCTGCCCTCTTATGACTAAAAGCATTTATTTAAGAATCCTTCTCCCTATTATTGACCAGAGCTATTTGAATTTCGCCTGCTTACTTTTTTCACCTAACTCAATATTTTGCATTTCAGCATCATTATGATGATACAATACATAGTACACGCCCTCATATGATATGATACCGAAAAATTGTCCAAACAGCACCAGTGTTGTTTGGATTGCCACTGAGCTCAAAACTTTCCCTGACCTGATGCTGTTATTCCGGAATCTTCCAATCCTGGCTGTCAGAGAAATGTACAGTGCAGTGTCGATCAGGGAAGTCTGTCTCAGCAGAATGGAAGACAGGCCATATCCCATTTCTATGGCATAGCTGCCATTATGGTAAGTTTCCAGGTCCTGTCCGAGTGTTAATGAATGGGTGAGTGGGCAAAAGGGTAGGTGGGTGAATGGGTAATTGACCAGTGAGGTAGTTGGCTCAGGTCATGTCCGGAGAGGTAGTTAGGCTGGGGTGTTGTTGGGCGTCACAGGCAGTTAGGCAAGTGGTGGGTAGGGTAATCAGCTTGGCAGAGGTAGGGGATGGGGTGGGTGATAGTCAGGTCCAGCTGTGATTGTAGTCCAAAAGATAGTCAGGTAATTAGGAGGTATATTTTGGTTGTCTGTTAGAGTTGTGTAGTTGGGTGATGGGACGTGGTAATCAAAGGGTGAGGGTAGTCTGTTCTGGTCAGGGAAGTTGGTCAAGGTGTTGATCTAGATTGGGGAAGGGTAGTCAGTTCTAGTCCAGAGGATGGACCATGGGGCAGCTGGGAGCAGTAGTCAAGTTGGAGATGCAGTCAGGACAAGAGTACTGTAGTGTAGTTGGGAGGGCTAATCACGTAGACAGAAGCTGTAATCTGATCAGGGATTAGTCGGGCCATTTGGAGAGGTGGTTCTGGGAATAATGGGGGTGAGAGGTAGTTAGAGGTGTGGTGGAAGTGGGGAATCATCAGTTTGGGAGGGTAGTCATGTAGATGTCAGGGCATCAATGTCAGGTTAGGTTAGATCATGGGAGTAATTGAGTGGTCAGAGGGATAGTTGTGTGGTCTGGGTGTTTTGGGGGGATTGGAGATAGTTGGAACAGAGTGGGGGAGAGTGGTCAAGAGATCAGAGTTGCTATTTGCTTGGGCTGAGTCAGTGTGAGTGGTTGGAATTATCAGCTATGCAGTTACTCAAGTGTTCAACTAGGTTTTAATCTGTTGAACATTTCTAAGTAACTAGCCAAGTAGGTACTGCAGAACTCTTCAACTGTAATTTAAAAGTTGGAGACAATTGCAGAGGGTGGTGGGGAGCAGGGATATTGCCAAGCAAATGCTAAAACTTTCCGGGAAGTTCATATATAGACCTACACAGAGGACCCCACAGGCTCTTAAAATGCATCTTCAGTCATATATCCAGTTTTCAGTGATACAGAGACTGGAAGATTCGGCACAAAATGTATTCAGTTATTTCCATAAATGCTTAATACGTTGGACTCATCGATTACCATGTAACACAGCTGTTAAGTCTGCTGAAAAATAAACACTTCTGACCTTGTTCTGTCTTTTCTTTGAACAGTAGAAGCACTGCATCTTGGAACACTGATGGCAGCTCATGGATATTTCTTTCCGATCTCAGACCATGTGCTAACATTGAAAGATGATGGGACTTTCTACAGATTTCAGGTAGACTGAACACAAACCAATTATTATGAAATAAAATTGAATCATATTTATTTATTTATTCATTTAGGTGTCAACTCACATCTGTTAAATTTGCTCTTCCATCATTTACAATAAAAATAGAAATTGGACGAACTGGATAAGGAATAATTGTTCCCCTTAGTTCAATAATCTGGGGCATAATTCTGAGGTAATGAGCAAGAGGTTAACAGGAGATTTGCAGAAACAATTTTTTTTTACCCAGGAGTAGTGGGAATTTGGAATGCACGGCCTGCAAGAACAGTGCATGTGAACTTTTCAGTCATTAAAATGTAGACGGTTGAGCACCTCAAAAAATAATAGCATTTAACAATATAGGCACAGTGGTGGAAAATGGGATTAGTGTAGATAGGTTAGTGCAGATTCAATGGGCCAAAGTGCCTCTTTGGTGTTGTATGACTCTATGACACATCTGCTTGCCAACCTGCTCCTGTGGGACTTAATATGTTCTACGTTCTTATGCATAAGGTCTCCCAAATCGTTCTGTGCCGCAGCTTTTTGAAGTCTGTCCCCGATCTCATTGATATACATAAAGAGTAAAAGTCGAGGTACAAATGGGCACTCTATTTTCAACCCTTCTCCATCCAAACAAAACCAATTAACTACGTAAGTTACGTACACTGAATGAAGATTTGATAGCAACTGATACTGACTGATGAACAGTAACACCGGGGTAAACTATCACATAATCAAAATGACAGATGATCCTACATCCTGAAAATTCTAACAGGAAAACCTGCAGGAATGTTAATCAAATCATCCACATCTCCATCGTACTCAGGCACTGATGATGTTTCCATGGGCCTCTTGTCTGCTGCCAGGAACTACAGATGAGAAAAGGTATCTGAAACTAGAAAAGATCAATAAGCAGATCAGGAGCAGCTGTAGGGAAACAAAGCTGACATAGCTGGACCATTTGTTTTGTTTGCACTTCGCTCTTATATCTGACCAAAGGGTTAGCAGCATTTTGCACTGCAACTGTAGACAACTGTTTCAATGACACTCAAAGTAAAAGCAACATCTACCTGACCTGTGGATTCCAAATTTCTGGGTACATAAACGACTGAAATGTAAAATAACCCTATATTTGAACTCTATGTCACAGGGAGCTGTGGGGCAGAATCCTTTTGAATGTTTAGGGCTGAGCTGGATAGATTCTTGATCAATAGGGGAAACTAAGGTTCTGGGGAAAGGGCAGGAATGTCAGATCAGCCATGATCCTGTTGAATAGTGGAGCAAGTTCAAAGGACTGAACAGCCTACTCTTGTACCTATTTTTTATGGCCTTATGGTCTAATATTCTGCCCTACATCTGTCTTTTATTTCAAGTCTTGTTTGCTTGCTAAACCTTACCGCAGTGGTTACAACAGGAAGATCGACTTAACAATTCCAATAGCCAACCAGGTGTCTCAAAATAAAATACTTCTGAAGTGTAGTCACTGTTATAATGTCAGAACCATAGTAGCCAATTTGCAAGCAGTAATCGCTCAGAAACATCATTGTGACAATGACCAGATAATCTCAGTTGGAAAGAGACAGCGCAGTGCTTCCTCAGTACTGTACTGGAGTGTCAACCTTTATTTTTATGCACCTATTCCTTGGAATGAGATTTGAATCCAGAAAATGTTAGGACAGAAAGGTAATGGAAAGCATTATTGAAATTTATTTCTGTTTTTAAAAGAGAATGACTGCTGATACCCTGCACACAAGCACAAAACGTACATGCACTGTGCCGGTGTCCTCAGGAGGCACAACCTTATTAAAATACAACATGTAACAATATCTCACCGTAGCTCACACTTCGAATTACATTATTAAATTAGTTATTTTCTATGTAAGGAAATGGAGCCTCTATCTCTGAGAAATTGGAACCAAGGGGTAGATTTTCTTTTCTAGCCTCTGGGTGCATCACTTTGTGCAAATGGTGAATTCATGCATCTATGATGATGTTATATCCATCTGATCATTTTGTTTCCCATGAGAATTCACTCGATGCACCTGTATTGGAGGTAAAACTGGAAAGGGTGTTCAATGACCCCTGTTCACAGGGATCTCTGAAATGATTCTCTTGTCTGGACTTGCTATTCAGTGATCTCTGTTATCACCAGGTACTTTCACTTGTTTGCAGGAGCCACAGAGTGACTCCTTCACAACTTATAAAGCCTCTGACTTACTGGTTAACAACAACAGCTTACAGCAACTGGTGAGGGTTAATAAATTGGCTTTCTTCAGGAGTTAGGTGCTTATTTTTCTGCTACAGAAACAGAAGACACACCAAATCGTGTTCCAGAGATCCAATGGCTTCTGACCCTCTTCTTCCAGAATTAGTTAATTAATTAATATAACGTAGTCAGTGGACCAGAAACTCAGAAATCCAACTGATAGTCTGGATACATGGCTGCAACTGTGGCAATGGCCAACCTATGGAATTTAGCTCAATCAATATATTTTGAGCACAAAGTTAATCTCAGTAATGGTGTCCATTAATTTAAATTCCTAGGGTGCTATGGTAATTCTGTATCATTCATCCAAGCCGCTTGATTATAAGTGCAGTAAAATAAATACTCTCAGAGTAACACATAAAATATTTTCCTTCTTATCCTTCAGTTTCAAATGTATGTGAATCTCATGGTGTCCAAACACATACAAGCTTTTGTTTTATTTCTCCTTTTCCTTTTCACATCAGGAATAAATCATTGGGCCAAAGTAATTTTGACTCTGTTGGAAATCAAGGTGCCAGTGTGAAAGTGCATTAACAATTCATGTCAATTAAGTCACTTGTTTCTTTTTTGGAAGCAAAACGGAATCACCAAGACCACCATCAAAGCTCATGTTAAATATTGACTTAAGCCCTAAGTATCCAATGCAAAGACATGGCAAATAATATTTTTAACTGATATAAAATGTTTCAGAGTCAGAATCTGTGATTATATTACAGATAATAAAAAGCTAATTTTTGCCTCTTTCCAATTAGTTAGTTTTTCCAGATGGTATATAATGCTCACTGGCTTATTGTTTTAACCATGTGATGTCCAGGAGCAGGAAGCAAGAAACTATGTGCTAAATCTCTTGTTTTCTTGGCTAAGTCTAAGTTATGTAAAGATTTTTGGAGGGAATTCCACGCGATTTTTCTCTCTTTATCGTACTTGCCTAATTTTACTTCATTTGCAAACTACCCTACACAATAGTATTTGTCATGCCTGATTCTGGTGCTATCTTACCTCACACGGTTTTCAGAACTACTCACTACTGAACAAATATCCTGAGATTCACCAGTATCTCTTGCGCATACGCCATCATTAAAAGCCCATTGTCCATCAGACAAGCGCTGTCAATCTAGAGCTGCCTTGCACGGTTCCTGACATTTACCCTCAATATGACAGACAGTGAGACATCAGTGCCTCCACACCTCCACCTCGCCCCCGCCACCGAGGTTTTTGGAGATCTCGCTGGATGGTGTGGTAAGCCAACTCAGGTGTTGGGTACAGGGACACTGCTGGTACATTTCATGAGTGGTATTTTAGGAACCGTACCAGGGATGTATTTGGATATGAAACAAAAGCTATTTCATTTCTTTTCAATCTCAAAAGGAGTGTTTTGAGATTAATGGTATTACGCTTTTAATATGTGCTTGAAAATAATATTATAAGTAGATAGTTTGAATTACTCTATTTTATCTTCATTTCTTTTGTAACAAAGTTCCGTTTTGTTGTTGAAGCAAAATTTGCAGCATTGTGTGCTCATGTTTCAGTGAGTGATGGCTTCGTTAAAAGCAAAACAAATAAAAACATGACCTATCAAGCCAGGTTCCTGACATGGGATCTGACTTATTCTGTAATAACATCAGCTTGGATCATAACAACTGTCGGAAAAAGGCCAATAACATTCTCCACTCTGCCAGCATAAGAACCACTATCTTCTCTCCGCAACATCACATTCACTCTGTTATGTTATTCCCTTGTTATTTAGCAGAGACGTAAAAAATGGAAGCTAGTCATGGTTACATAGAAAGATAGAAAATAGGAGCAGTAGTAGGTATTTGACCCCTCGAGCCTGCTCTGCTATTCAAAATTATGGTTGAAAATTATATTGGAGAAAAGTACTTTTGTCAATTTATTGACAGTCCATAAATTTATTTCCAAGAGCTGAATTATTCTGAAGGAGATATAAATGAAAAGTGAGTATCAAATTGCAGTCAATTTTGCATTTAATCAACTGAATAAACAGTGAGATTACGAAGGAAAGTAATAACTTAAGCAGCAGTGAATAGTACAAAATATTTCTGGTCTGCTGTATGAGCATTCTAGTCATTGCTGGTTGTCTTAGAGCAGCATGACAGGAAGAGAATGTGATCCATGAGTCTAAAAGGGATCGGAAGAACAGTACTCAGATCGAATTACTCAAGAAAGCAGAGCTACCATCAAAGATTCAGTGACTTGGACACGATGAAGAGAGAATGCATAATGAGACCCAGGCTCATCTGGGATGGTAAATGAGATGTCATCACCTGATCCAGAGAAACCTCCAGAGATGGTAAACCATCTGCTCAACTATAAATATGTTGCACATTTGTGCAGTGATATCATTCTCAATAATTTCCAGGCCATTTTGTCTCATTGGCCAGGTTATCATAGCTTGTCAAGAGATTTTGTGGCTGAAGTTGGGTCACAGACAATTTTTTTGTTGACAATGATCACAGACAATGGAGATGGAAACCTAAAATTATAAAGACATGTTGATACAGTTACATGAATAAGCATAATTATGGAAATGAATTTCAGTGTGGGAAAATGTGAGATTTGGAATTGAAAAGGATGGAATGAATCACTTTCTAAATGACAAGAAGCTAGAAGCACTGGAGATCCAAAGAGACTTGGCGGACCCAGGTATGCAGATCATTGCACTTTCATGAGCAGGTACAGAAGAGGTTAATGGATTTTATATCCAGAAGACTAGAATACAAGGAGGTAGAAGCCAATGCTTCAGCTATGCAGAGTCCTGCTTAGACCCTGTGGATTACTGTGACCAATTGTGGGTATGTTTGCCTCCAAGGGAGTGCAGAATAAACTGAATGATACCTGGATTCCAAGGATGATATTTTAAACGAGATTAAACCACCTGGGGCACCAGGGGCATCCACAGTACCAAGCATCCACGTCCAGTTCCAGCCTTGGGTGACTGTGTGGAGTTTGCATATTCTCCCCATGTTTGCATGGATTTCTACTGGGCGATCCAGTTTCTTTCCACAGTCTGCAGGTATGCAGGTTAGATGGATTGGCTATGCTAAATTGTCCGCTGTGCCTAGGAATGTGCAGGCTAGGTGGATTAGCCGTGGTAAATGTGGGGTTACAGGGATAAGGTGGGGAGCTGGGTCAGGGTGGGATGCTCTTTAGAGGGTCAGTGCTTCTTCAGATGGGCCAACTGGCTTCCTTCCACGCTGTAGGGATTCTACGTTCTATACAAGTATTCACTTGGATTAAAGGGTGATTTGATCAAAGATATTAAGGAGAACAACTAACATAGTTATTGTGTCCATAGTGGTGGGGGTTTGGTGGGGTGGTGTTGCGGGGTGGAATAGTCTGACACCTCCAGACTGAAATTAGGAAATACTTCTATTGAGAAAAAATAAGTTTTGCACTGCAACGTATTGCACAAATGGCTGTTATTTTAAAATTAACCAAACATTTGATCATCAGAGGTAGATAGCTTTCCCATTAAGCAAAAGCACTAAGGTAATGGAGCAAGTACGGAATTAAGTTATAGCAAAGCCATGAACTCATTGAATAAGCGTACAGGCTCCAAGGGAAAAGTGCCTCTTTCTGTTCGTATTTAACTACCTTCCACATAGCAACGCATGAAAGGCCCCTATACTTAAATCTGTTTCAAACAAGGTTGTGCACATTTATTTTGAATGCAATTGAAGTCAGGGAGATCAAAAGTGATTCATCCAATTCCACATCACTCCAGACAGCTGCGACCATTCTCTGCTCTGACCAATGTAGTTCCCCACTCACCACCACATATTTCAGAGCTACTGCCTGAGTGGCATGCAACCCAAAATTCAGTTTCAAAAATGGGCAGGCTGCTTTAGCACAGACATTTTTAGGTCAGCGTCAGGATTTCCTTGTGCATGCCGCCCAAAACAGGCCCCAGATGTACACTTGTAAGTCTGAACAAGGATTTAATGCAGCAGCAATGAAAGATCAAATTGCATTAGCTGTTTATTTTAATAGAAGATTGTTTCTTACTATAATATGTGAAAACAAAAGTGAATAATTATCCATTGCTTTCAAAAGAAATTAATGAACTTCGAATATGTTGTTCTTTGTTTGCTACAGACACCATACTTTTGGCCATCAAACTGTTGGGAGCCAGAAAACACCGACTATGGTTAGTATTTATATATGGTATTTTATTATTATATGCACGGGAAACATCATAATGCAAAGTGTATGAATGCTTGGTTTCATGTTAGTGTAGATAGCATTTAACCAAATATGTTATGAATAGTTATTCACAATTTTATCAGGTCATTTAACATGGCACATTTAAAATCCATAACTTGTCTTCATATTTTAGTTCCTGAAGAAAGCAACAGACTAAAATGATGCAGAATAAGAAATAAACTGTTGTTTAATTAAAGTTGTTACAGAACTCCATTTTTACTAGCGTTGACCCAAAAATAAATTGTTTCTCAATTATCTCAAGTTGTAGAAAAAAAGTCAGAAAAGACTTTTTAAAAAGCCTCAGTCATGAAAAGGTAAGAATGACAAAAACCCATTCTGTCATTTAGTTCCCGAAGCAGCATTCGGAATTTTTTTATAAGTGGTATTTCAATTTGTCAAGGAGATGTGTGGGTTTTGAATGCACCAAGTGTTAGGATTTCACCCCTGTGTAACTTTAAAACAATTCCCTCAAACCCAAAGGCAGCTGAATTATATTGGTGGTGCATAGATGCTGAATATTCCTGAGTCAGTTATGAAGTTGCTACATGATGCTAATTGTTCACACTTTAAATTGGCATGTCCTCATGACATCCATGTATTAGTGTATTACGTAAGTGGTTTTCTTTACAACTCGTGGTGTTGGGTTTTTTTTCTCAGGAGGATGCATGAAAATTCCTGTGTGATCATTATGAATAAGTGAGTTCCCACGGTGAACTGAATGATTGGGAGGCAGAATGCTATACTTTACAAACGAGCATAAAATTGAGAGTGATCTTAGCAGATGAGGGGCCCAAAAACTGAAAGCTTGCCTGCCTTCTGTTTTAAGAAGGAATTAAAATATTATGGAATAATTTAAATACTTATCGAAGCAATTGTTCCCAGTTTAATGCAGCCCAAGCATTTTGATGGTGATCACAAAGACTGCACGTGTTAGCAGGGTGTGTCAGGGGACTTCAAGCCAACTAGTGAGGAAAAGTACACTAGGGAATACAAGGCTGCAGCAAAATCTGTAGGACAGGCTTGTGAAGTTATCCAGTGTCTAAGTATGATTGATTCTGCTACTGAAGAGTTAAGGGCAATATGTCTGAGAGACTCACTTGGAAGAGGGGCATAAACCAAACAGAAATCATTTTAGGGCTGTCTGCTGCAATAGATGCCATGGGAATACTCGACACTGGTGGAGGTTCCTCCAGTAAGGAAGGGCAGAGAAAGAGAGAGAGAGACCATCAGCAACATTTGTCATGATGTCAGTGTAGGCTCAGAAGAGGAATGAGGAGAGTATCGGAGTGGGCACTAACCTGAGGGATGGATTTACACACAGCACACTACACTAACTACCTTCAGATAAATGAATGCTAGTATCTCAGCACGCTTTATATATCTAGGGAGGTAGTAACTTTCGTATGCCTCTTGATTGTAACAAGTATCTGTTCAAACCACCTGGGTGGCTGTTGGATTTTGGGGTAAACTTAGATTTAATTGTAAGACATATTATTGATTATAATTATAGACTGAGTTTGAGAGAGCCAGTGTGAAAGTTTACTAGTCCTAATTAGTTACATGACTGATTTCAGATAAAAATATGATTTCACAAGTTTTACAGAATTTATTATATTTTCAACAGAAAGTACAAAAGAATGAATACTTAATAAAAGTGATCTTCAGTCCATACACTTTGGGATGCCAAACTCAACACTGGTTGGCTGGGCACTGGTCTTTTGTTGTGTTCTGTTAACTGAAGTTCTCTGAATGTCTTCAATAATTTTTCTTGTGAATCAAATCACTAAAACTCAGGCCTATGAACCCTTATTAGCCACTACCCTCTCCATGATCAAAGGCATTCGAAACTCAAGTTGGTTCTAAAGTGCATGAACTGTGCATTGGCTCAATAATACCAATTCCTGATTGGCCATCTTAGTGATATCACTATATATTGTCTCCAAAGCCATTCTTTAAATGGCAGGCAGTTTATAAGATCATACTTTCTATGACAGCTTGTTCGTCTTGGCTTATCAACTCGATAGATCTCTACCAAGATATGGTGGCACCAATGAGCAATTTATTTGTCTGCTGAGAGTATTTAGTGTCACCTCCCAGTGATTAAATATCATTCTAAATGTCCCAACGGATGGAGCCACGAAGGTCAAAACAACTTCAAGACTGTAAAACTCAAAAACCCCATTTCAAACCATATTGTAGATATACAATGATAAGCCTGTTTATTTGTTACAAAATAAAACCATTTTAAAACATAGACAACAAGGTGCAGGGCTGGATGAACACAGCAGGCCAAGCAGCATCATAGGAGCAGAGAGGCTGACGTTTCGGGCCTAGACCCTTCATC